ATGCAAAATTTAATTATTGTTTATTGACAACATGGTGCAAAGAGCACTGCTAATGAACAAATACCGGAAATATATAGAATCCAATACAATTTCAGATTAATGAAGTCCAATTAGAGCAAGGTCAATGCAGATTGTTTGCTATTGGTTGCTGCACTTTTAACACTGCACTTTTGTTTTGTTGAATACATTTCAGTAGGTTGTAGTCATGACAACCAAAGGAAAGGAACCAAACATAAAACTGGGACAATTCCTTGTAAGAACCAGATTTCTAGTCTGATTTTCCTACAGACTGAAAGATTTTCGATTGCTATGGGTAACGTCACTTTTGCTTCAGTAGCCTCTGCTCCAGTTTTCATACGAAACACACAATTTCATAATACATAATCCATCTTTTGGCAATGAATTTACGTTATCAATATTTAGAGTAGGATCACTCCCCATCTCTGCCTTTCAAAGTAAAAAGTGAATTCAGAACTGCTAATTAAGATTGACTAATGCCGAAAACACAAAACTGAATATACTGCAGCTTAACATCTCTAGATGTGGTGGCCATATTAATTATGTTTTTTTCAGGATTTGTGATCCAATATTTTTACCTGATAATCCTGCAAATAACACATTTCCTGTTTCTGGGAGGCTACACTCACTCTTCCACTGTATCTATGAGGGCAGCCACAGTTGCCACCTAGCCTGAACTTTAAACATGCCTGCCTTTGGTCATCTCCATTATATAGACAAGCACACTGCATTTCTGTATCTGCTGAAAATGTTCTTAGGCCGGTAAAAGCAAAACTAATGCAGTCACCACATCTAAGAAATAGCTGCAATATATTAGATTTTTCTTCTTAGGATTAGTTATACTTCAATGAGGCTAATTCACAAATAGAGAGGAGACTGTTCACCTAGCAAAGTATATGTTCACTTTGCAAACTCCTTGTGTATGTCAAGGAAAACAAAAAGGCGTACATATATTTAATACATGTACATGTCTCCTGGTTTAGTCCTTTAGATACCCAGTAAGTACAGAAAAATACCTTTTTGATTTGCCAGAAATGCATTTAGCTCCTAGATCCTGTCATGGGCTGACAACACACTGCTTTTTCTGTGGACCAATTGTTGTCAGTCCTGCCCAGTGTATGTTGCTAAACTACTGAACCACTCCTAGTCTCAGATCTCCACAACATAAAGGCTAGTTATTATGTAATCCAAGACAAGAACAAAGAGGACTCCTTGAGATGACACAAGAATTGTGAAGAGGACACAGGAAAGCTCTAACTTTCTAATTTCTAGATCAGTGTTTTCTGCACTTATGAAACAGCTAGAACAAAATGCTTCCAATTATATTATAAACAGACCAAAAAGGAAGCAAATAAAAGATGTTCATTTTCAGTAATGTGTTTAGGTTGTGTTCACTTTAAAATCCCAATTATGTGCAAGGGGAATTAAAAAAACACAGGATTTTTTTCTAGCACAATTAAATATTTTAAGTAAACACATTTTTGCATAATTCACACAGTGAACAGTCTTTACTGCTTCAGTAAATCAAACCCACTGTCTCAACAACTTTTGTACACCACAAGTCCTTCACAGGGTTGTCTCCAGATGATAGTTTTGTCTATTTGGTCTGCTGTAAATAAAGAATTACAAAAAAAAAAGAATTAACAGCGTTATTCACTAAAGGATAAAGAGTTTGGAAAAGGCAGGAGAAGTAAACAACATAAATAGCTGATTTGGAAAAAAAATTCCATTTCAGCTCACTTTCCAGTTCTGCTATGTTGTCCTAGATTGTTCACTTCTCCTGCCTTCTCCAAACTCTTCACCCCTTTGTGACTAACCCTGTCAGTTTTTCAGAATACCTGAGTTTTACAATAAAAATACTCTGTTCTACCCTGACTTAAAGTCACAAATCTAAAGGGACACTTACAGAAGAGGTGAGGTCGCTGAACTGAAGTAATGCTGTGTAATGAGAATCAGAATGCGCAGCAGTCATATTGGCCGCCGGTGCGTTCTACGCATGCCCACCGCCATCTTGGAGGTGGGGTGCATGGCATCACATGACGCCACGCGTGTGCGGCATTGGGTGACGTCATTCGGAGAACGCGCAGTGGCCATATCGACTACTAGCATGTTCTGCACATGCGCACCCGCTATTTTGAAGTATATCTTGGTATAAACCAAAATGGTGGCGCCCACATGTTCTGTGCCGCCATCTTGGTGTATACTAAGATATACTCCAAAATGGTGGCATGCATGCGCACACTGCGCTGGCGGCCGAAACAGCCACTGCTCGATCTGCAGTTTCTTTGTTCAGTTTCGTATTCGGAGGCTCGTTGGCTCCGAATCCGAGGCAGGATTAAAATGAGTTTCCTTTGATGAAACAAATGAAAATGTGTTTCATTCTCATTCTCATTTGTTTCATCTGAAACAAATGTTTTTGCCCTGCACATGTCTAAAAATAATCATTTAGATCCATACATGCAGGCAGCTAAAATTAAACGCAAGTTTTGATTTTTCTGATCAAAGTCAAGCTTAGTCACAAACCCTCTCCTTTCCCAAGCCTTTATACCGGTAATGAGGTCACATGACATATTAAAAAGGACCAATTGAAATGCTCAGAATGCAAAAGGCACAGAGCCACGCTCAACTTTTTCACTACAAGATTTGGACTTCAGCTACCCATTAGTGATGAGCCTGTTTAAAATTGACCAACACCCCACTCCAAGCGCAATTAATTGTGGTAGGCACATTCCCCACCCTGTATCAATATATCACAAAAGGGTGGGGAATAACCCAGACACAACTGCTGCCACTGATTGGGCCGGGAAAGAGCAGGTTTGGCCAAACTCAAACTGTGTTTCTACCAAGCATATACTGCCTATATATCTGGATATTCTTGGTCTTGGCATGCAGTTTTCACTGAAGGTAACCTCTGCTTATTCATTTCTGTTTGATGCTATGCATAGTTTGAATTACTTAGCTTTGTGACTTCATGTAATTTTCCGTAAAGTAGGGATGTTCAGATACCAGTGCCGATACTTGCCATTTTCATGAGAACTACCAGGTTTGCAGCTGGGACCTGGCTCTGGTGCTCCACCACTGTTCTGAAATCATTAGTCTGTATTGTTTTAGAAAAACTGTCACATGGCAATAAACAAAAATCTGTGAGTACTTGTACTTGAAAATAGTATCAGCGCATCCCTTGAATATATTTATTAAAAAAAAAAAAATCATACATGAAAACAGGGATGCACAAATCCCAGGAGCTCCTTATGCTCCTTAAAAATGACAGCTGCCTACTAACTATTGAATTTTTCTCTAGTCTAGGAGCTGGAAAAGTGTCTGTACATGTAGTTGTACCGAGTATGGTACTTGGTATCTGAACATCCCTACCGTAAATACACGTTGAAACGATTATGATAACCAAACATAAAAAACATTTGTTTCCAAAATTGACTTTTCATAATAAACAGCATGGTGATGAAATGGTGAATTTTATAATCAATGGTTTTTTTTTGTAATGCCTACTAGTCCGTTGTCTTGTCTACTAAATGCAATGGAGCAGAATTGGCAAAGTTATCTTTGTGGTGGTGCTGCTGCTGCTGAGACATTCAATATCAAAGAAAGGCTGCACTATGGAAAATAATTTCACTCCTGGTCTGAAGGTATGATGAGAGGAAGAGGAGGAAAATGCTGAAAAGTAACCAGAAATATAATTCTGAGTCAAATCTGGGACCCAGTTCTCAATGAAACAATTTGGTTTTGGTTTCATACAGTGTCTGGCTTTTAAGCAGATTGTAAAAAATGTTTTATTTCTTTAAAAATATTGTAGAAAACCTAGTGCTGGGCATAGACACATCTATGCTTTAGATAATCCATAGAAGGTTTGTGTGCCATAAACATATACAAATATTCCTTAGGTCAACTGGGCATTTCCGTGGAAGCATTTAGCAGAGAAATAAACCCCAAAAAGGTTTGTTATTCCATTTCACATTGCTGGGTACCCCAAAACATTTGTTTTTGCTCAAACTGTATAATATATATATATAATTTGCCCTTATATGGACATTAGAAAAATGTATAGCACATGTAATGGGGTATACAGTATAATGTAACAATGTTGTATTAGGGTCATTTCATAAACGTGAATTTGGCAAAACATTCATATTTAAAATGAACATCAATAAATGTCATTAAAAATCATTGTGCGTTTATTAGGATACAGAGAAAAAAAAATGTGTTTTTATATTTTATCCTTCAGTTTATATGTGGCACCTATACATATATAATATATATTTTAATAAATGCATTTATTTATTTTTCAACAGTAGAGCCTCTATTTTACTTTTCATAAAGTGTGTTTTTGCTGATGTTTTTGTAATTTTCAGGTATTGTTAATATTTATTTATTTTCATAATTTCTAACTTCAGTACTGATCATGTATTTCTTACACAAATTATGTTTTAATTATAAACGATAGAGAGAAAACTTTGGAACAAAACAGCTTGGACATTCCTTAACCGAAACTGGTGGTCCTCAAATATCAGTGATTAATTTTAGCAAATTTGATGGGTTTTGCACAAAAATCATTCTAATTTAAAATAAATAATTTTAACAGTAGAAATGTATCATTTTGTTGCAATCACTGCACAATTTGACATGATCGTTTTATTCTGTTGTTGCTATCAGTCAAAGTTTATATTATATTTGCCTATATAAATCCAACTGTATTGATCCAGCTGCCATATTGTTATCATATATGTTTACAGCCAAGTCTTATCTAACCATAACATGCTATCCAAGACTGTATAGTTAGCCTTGGTTAAAGTAAGCCTTTAATTTTGTCCAAAGCCAGACACTGCAAAACACTGAAAAAAGGAAATAATGTCATGATCACATGGCTCATTTCAGCAAGTTTATCTAAAATATTGTATTGTCTACAGTCCAAAATATTTAAAAATAAAAGCAAAAAAATAAAACAAAATTGAGGTAGTTTTTTTTTTCCATTCAAAACACTATTCAAAAATGCCATTCCCACTCCCAACAAAAGAATAACTAAATCTAAAAAAAGTACAAAATTAAAACACAAAATAGCAACACCATAACACTTATATCCTCATCCATACAGGAAGGGAGTCCCTCCCATAAAATGGCGTAAAAAACCTAGGTCTGTAAACAACAAAATGCAGAAACTGCATTTACGTTTGTGCACCCATGTTGAAGATAATACATTCAACTCTGTCAGGAAATAAATAGATAAGAAAAAGAGTGAAGAAAAAAAAAAAGCAAACTTTTGGCTCCCACATAGAGAGTAATAGTCTTTTTTTCCTTTTTAACGATTCCAAAGCAGCCACTTTTGACAGCTGTCTTTAAACCGTTTTCCTCTGGATGCTTACTCCTTGCTGACATTGGTTTTGCATGAGTGAAGAAATGCTTTAAAAAGCAGAGGTAGTTGCTCCAGGGGTACATTCACCAGCTTCCCTGCAATGTTAAAAATGATGATATTATTATTATTATTATTAATTTTCATTATAAAAATAGATTTCTGAAGCTACTCTGCTTAGTGCCAGAAATCAAAAGTGTAGCTCTACCTCTGTTTGTCATAACTGCCAAGTAAGACATTTAGATTTACTTATTTTAGCAGAGAATGACTCCTGAGGACAGACAGTTGCTGCCCTGTCGATTAGCTGATCTCATGCTGACAACACACTATTTTTCCAGTGCATATAACAGGTAATAATTTAATATTTTCCTTAACCATGGGCTGTATTATGTGTTTTTAGTAACACAACAACATTCCAACTCTGACTCCCATTTCCAAAGTCCCCATCAGAAAAATTAATCAAAACTGAATAAAGGGGTGAATATAAAGAATCTTGGAAATTCTTATAAAGAGAATAAAGAGCCTTATAAAGAATCTTGGAAATGTAATATTACAATTATTGCATATTCTCAATCATGACTAACTCTCCTTGACTACAGTCTACTAGTCTGCAAATGTTGTCTACATGTTCTACATAAACTTTTTACCTGGATTTAATGATTTAGCAGTTGTCTGAACTGTGTGGGACTATGGGATACCTCATTTGAACTGATGTTGTGACACAAACAGAAGAGTGATTGCCCCTGGCTAGTTCTTTTCTATAAAATCGATTGCTCACCTCTTTCTGTTTTAGTTATGCCAACAGCCCAACCATTCTGAAATTATCTTTCACTTTCGGTAAAACAGTAAACTAAATAGAAGCTGTTGCTATGGACTTCTACACTTTACACACTGTTCCTTTTTCTTTTTTTTAGTAAGCAAATTGCTCTGGAACCCCCATTGTACTGAGACCCCAAAATATATGACTCTTTCTATTTCTATTGTAGAAATGTTACAATCTGGAAAGCACAAAACAGACTCTGAGATCTAGCTGGGGTTGTGCTCATTTAATCTTCTTTTCAATACAGGCAGTCCCCGGGTTAAGGACGTCCAACTTACGGACAATCCGTACTTATAAACCGGGGTCCACAGTTCTCGTAAATGTACCGGCAGTCCTGTGCCCTGCTGCTTTCCCCGCCTGTGTTGGCGGAGGCAGCGGAGACACAGATCGCTGCATTGCTACGCTGCCCCTCTTACCTCAGCTGATGTCCCGACCTCCTCTTCCGGCGATCCGTTGGCTTCCCCGGTCCGGCCACGGCTCCTCTGCCCCGCCCCCTGCCTCCTCTTCATTGCAGGCTGGGAGCCAAACCCAGCCTGCTATTGGATATTGTAAAATGCAATAGCCAATAGCAAGCTGGCTATTGCACCCGCCCTCTGCTTGTTGTCAATCAGCATGGGAGGACCTGATAGAGAACTTTCTCCTTCAGGCCCCTCCTCTGCTGATTGACAGCAGGCAGTGGGCAGATGCAATAGCCAGCCTGCTATCGCAATTTGAAATATCCAATAGCAGGCTGGCTATTGCTCCCAGCATTAAAATAAAAAATAAAATAAAAAAGACAAAAAAATGTAAATAAAAATAAAAAATGCAAACAAATAAATAAAAAAAAGTTTAAAATAATTAAAAAAATTATATATATTATAATCTTCTGAACAGCAGGAACAGACAGCAAAACAAATGCTATCCAAAACGAAATAATGTTTTTTTGGCTGGGGTTACACTTAAAAAATGTACCTGTTCCGACTTATATACAAATTCAACTTAAGTACAAACCTAAAGTCCCTATCTTGTATGTAACCCAGGGACTGCCTTTATAGGTTTGATGATATAAGATATGCTGATGTAATTCTTACCAGCAATATAGCGTATCTCAGGCAAACACATCATAAGGTCCGGGAATCTGTTGGGTTGGAGAGGATACCTATACTCTGTGAAGTCCTGACACACGTACCAGTACCTCTTATTCAGCTGCTCCAGCTGGGAAACATTGCTAATACCTTGGATATCTGTTGGAAAAAAATGTTTGTTAGGGATGGGAAATTACATTCGAGGCTTATGAATGCATGTATACTTAAAAGCTGAGTTTACCTTTTAGACCATGTTTAATGGTACATCCATATTCAGGTAACATGAATATGGGTGTAACATCACTATATCATGAAACATGGTCACCCATATCCCACTCCTCACTTACCTAAATTGAAGGGTTCTTCTCCCTCCAGGCTTCTCCTCTTTTTAAAAAAATGGTGTGGCTGTGCAGGGCTCTGCCCACACACCTGCATTAATAATTCACAAAAATTACATTAGCCACTAAGGCAAAGGTAGTTATGGTTCTCAATGGAATACAAGTGCTGTGACATCACCGCACTTGTAGTCTATTGATACTTCCTCCTTTTCCTGCTATTGAATGTCTGTACCTTGGTACGGACAGGTACAGGAGGGAGAATTTGCAGGAGCCAGGCATTGCACCCGCGATCCACTTATTGCGGTTGTAATGTTTTACTGGCTACAATGCAAAAAGATTATAAATGCAAATTTTTTAAATTTGATTAATAGTGTGCATCTATTTTTATTTATTTTTTTAAAAGGTGGACTTTGCCTTTAAAAGGTTTTTACACTTTTAGGTAAAATAGGGAACACCCCTTTAACTAATACATGGCCTAGTGCCTAGTTCCCCACACAGAGCTTGCTGTTACTCAGCATTTTGGCTCTACATAAAAGGTGGCACTGCATTGCACTGCTGCCTATTAGACTGTAAGCTCCAAAAACAAATTTATCATACCTTTATATCCATCAAAACAAAAATGGAGCATCATGACTGTATATTATTAATACTACAACATACTCTTTGGAAGGGGCTCCGCTGGGTGAATCTGTGATGGAAAAGGATTTGGGGGGCCTAATGAATTACAAACTAAGCAACAACATGCAAGGCTAATCTGCAGCTAAAAGAGCTAGTAGAGTGCTATCTTGCATTAAACTGGAATATATTTAAGAGATCAATCCATAATTCTGCCCCTTTATAAAATGCTATTTTTGGCCTCATCTTGAATATGCAGTTTAGTTTTGGTCACCAATTCACAGAAAGGATGTCCTTGATCTCAGAGAACAGCAACAAAATTAATAGGAGGTTGGAAGACCTTAGCTATAAGGAATTATTACAAAGATTACATTTATTCATGCAAGTGCCATGTGTAGTGGATTTATCACTACACCCAGGTGGTATGGAACGGCGAGAGAGTGGTTGCGAACTGAGAAAATTTGACTTTTTTGTGAAGTTATATCTTTATAAATTATAACTAAAGGCAAAACGTTTATTTTAGATTTGCATAGAGTGGTGAGGAGTTAGAACCACTGTCAGGTTTTTTTGCTGTCTGTGTCCCTATTTGGGAGATTTACTCTTGAATTCTCCAGAATACCCATCTCAGCGGTAATTAAAGTGATTTTTAATTGCCACCAGAACACAGGGGAAATTCCAATGAGAACACATGTTTCTGGGACAACTCTTTAGTAGGTGAATTTTCCTCCGATTAAAAAAATATTCTTTCAGTTTCTTAGTCTACAGGACAGAAAATGAAGGGAAATCTCCCTAAAGAGACACAGGTGACAAAGAAACTGAAAGCAGTTTTACCCCCTCCTACTCTATGCAAAATGAAAAACGTTTTGGCCTAAGATATACTTTTAAAACAATGAATTTAGTGTTTTTATACTTGGAAGTGCCAACATTTAGTCTAAATCTGCATACTGTACATGCAGATGTAAGATAAAGTGTTAGGCGATATATGACTACTACCGTGTTTCCCCCGAAAATAAGACAGTCTTATATTTGTTTTGCCACAAAAAAACACAATAGGTCTTATTTTCGGGGGAGGTCTTATTTTAATGTACAACAATCAACATGTATCCATGTACAAAAATATGGTGATCAGGGCAATCAGGGGTGCCGTACCTTTCTAAGAGCAATTTGAGGGTAGATTCTTTTTTTGCACACGAGTTTTACCCTGATGACACGTTTCGTCATGTGACTTTTTCAAAAAGTCACATGACGAAACGCGTCAAAGAGGGTAGATTCTTTTTTTGCACACAAGTTTTTTAAACTGTTCCCGAGCTGCCTGTGCCGGCCGGACTTTGTATACCGCCTATGTAAGTTACTATTTTCAATAAATTTGTACACTTTTAATTACTACACCATGAGGGCTTTCTCCTTCTTTTATTCCTAAAATATTGTGGGACCACAGCGAGAAGTTTCGCCAACACCATATCTGAGAAAATCCATCAGTGCGCTTCTGGGACACCGTCAGCGCTGCAAGGGAGAAGATAAAACACTCACCCTGCTGGGTCCCAGAGCGGAAACAACCGGGTCCAAAATAAAGCGTGACCGTAAGCCTAAGTGCCACTAATCAAAAGCCTTCTACTAACTCCATTTGGTGAGTACCCATCTAAGAGGGGTTGTTGGACTACCACTGAAATACACCATCAATATTTTTTTCCTGTATACGTTTCCTATGGCTTTTTAAATTACCTTCCACTGAACACTGTGCTCCGGTGATTTGATTTTTTTATTGTAAGGGTGCTTTTTGTGGATTGCCTGCATATTGTTACATATCGGTTATAGACTTTTTGATAGGTCATCACGTTTTTTAAACAATTTGATTGATGATTTAATGCAACAAATGTATTACCTTGATTAACATTTGTCACCATCACTAGTTAATAGACCTTCACATATCGGCTATTTTTCATTGTTGTTTCAACGTTGGTCTGGTTTTTCACAGTTTCTTTGACACAATTGAGTTATTCAGTTCCTCTTTTTTCCAATATTATATGCAGGATTTCTTTTGATTTATTTAGTTATTATTGGGTTTAGGCCAAATCACTTAACCCTTTATTTTCACTTTATTATATTCTCACTTGTATACTTGGTTGTACCGAGTTCTATACAATCCATACCTTTAGCGCTTTGATATTTTCTTTTTTGAAGTTCCCCCTTATGCCACCACCGGCCCTGGGAATGGTCACAACTAGGTCTTATTTTCGGAGTAGGTCTTATATTTTAGCAATTCCCAAAAATAGTACTAGGTCTTATTTTTAGGGTATGTCTTATTTTCAAGGAAACAGGGTATACAGTCTAATGTCACACCACGCTATCAATCCAAGTCTAAATTTTATTATAATAAAAATGATCTAAATCCCCAATAAATACAAGGGTGAGAAAACTATAAACGTAATTACAGCAATAGTGTTTTGGCAGCTACAAATTTCTTTAGGTGTTTTGAATCTGTAACTAGTAATGACAATCATACAGTATCTACAGCAAACTTCTTTACCACCAAAATGATACCTTTCACTGCTCTTCTTAAAAATCACTGCAAAGTACCAACTATTACAGAACATTGTTCTCATTTGTGCTGGAAACATCTGGCAATCCCACAGCTTGCTTTTCTCCCTCCAGCAGCTGCTGTAAGCCATCACTGCTCATATGTTCCTCCTCCGGTGCGCTGTGAATTGTGTTTACCAGGGTGAAATGTGCAAGTGGTGATGGAGTTGCGAGAAGTTATATCTATTGAACTCTCAAACATATGAATGACTGCTAATGCTGACACTATTAACATAATTTACTTTTAAGTTTTGTATTTATTTATTTATATTGGAGATTTGGATGGCTTTTGAGGAAACTTTTTATAGACTTGGACTAACAGCAAGGTGGACTTGTGGATTTTAAGATTTAATAAGAAAGCCTGACTGTGCTTTTACATAACAGCAACTTTAATTCCTGGCGTAGCTCCCTGTTTACGACTTAAGGTTACTGATATCGGATACTAGATAAGCACAAGTAATATATCTTTCCTTTTTAATTTACAGAAGATCACTGATAAAAGTTAAAAAAAAAGAAAGAAGAAAATAACTGTGTAGATTTAACAAACGTTAATTCCCACATCTAGAGTCTAGATCAGGTTTGCCCATTAGGTAGATCGCAATCTTCCAGTCATTCGCAAAGCTAAAGATGGTAGATCGTGAGTTGGCTCCCTGTCCCGAGCTCCCTTATATGGTGTTAGTGCGGCAGAATGTGTTGGATGCTGCAAACAGGGAGGGGCATGCCACCTGCAGCATTTGACATGTTTACACCTTCATCCTGCCCCTCCCCGCCTGCAGCGTCCAGCATGCAGAGGTATACAGGATAATGGAGTTCCATCAGGATGATCAAATTCTGTCCTCCTGCACCATGTTGGGCCATGGGTTTGACACCCAAAGAGGTCGCCTTAATGTGCAGGTATGGCTCAGTGTAAGGTGAACAGAAGTAACATTTCTGTTACTTTAACTGGCTCATTTGCTTTTCAGTGTACAAAATATTTCTCTATTCTGTTATGGTGTAATCTCAAATACATATAGAAGTTTACTGCTTCTGTCCAGAGGATTTGTAATTTTGGCCAGCTGTTCTTAGGACATAACTCTTTTCCATTTACTCTACTACTTCGGGTTTATCATTGCTGCTTCTGTGCCAGTGCTCTGCTCATTGGACAAGGTAATTATGATAATTAATTTTGGTTCGCAATAGCAGGACAGGACAGCGCGCATGAAGAGTTGGGAAGAGCCAGGAAACAGGTAGTTACTACCTGGTAGTATGTTTGGATACCAAAGTGGATATACTGAGATATACAGTCTGTCATTCATATCCCACACATCAGACACCCCTGCTGGTCCTGTGACCATGGACATTGCTAGAACCGGGTAATCAGGGGAATTACCCCATATCTGTCTGAGTGTCTTAGGTCCCGACACGGCAACATTTTTTTAATAAGCATGTTTCGCCAGCTACTGGCTTTTATCCCTGCTGACTGCCAGACCTGCAGCTGCTGTCTTCTGTTTCCACTTGTTGGTCTGCTCAATAATACTGGACTTGCAGCACAGTGTCAAAAAGGCGTTTCGGAGCACTTACCCCAGCCCTGTGCTGGGGTAAGGTCTGACAGTCAATGGGGCAGACTGGAAGGAAGGAGCAGAAGACCGCAGCTGTTATAGTACAGACATTAGGTTAAAAAACTAACAAACGGGTGGTTGCAGCATCAGGACTCAGGGCACTCACCAGTAGATGCAAAATTGAGCATCTGTATTCAAATTATTAGGCTTATTCAATGGAAAGATACATGCAGTAGTCCTAGTAAGCATTTTAATGTGTTTGTTTTTAAAATACAGGTTTTTTTTTTCCCGTTGGTAGATCTCATTGAGCTCATCATTTGAAAAGTAAATCTTAACACAAAAAATTGTGGGCACCCCTGGTCTAGATGGACTCCAGACTTTAACAAAAACAGACAACAGTCCAGACCCTAAGGGCCTGTTTACACCACCACTTAAATTTTTGGGATTTCTTATCACTTTCTGTCCCAGTGACAACCGACCAGGACAAATAGAGTGGATACATACCATAAAAGGTGGGCAAAAGGTTTAACCTTACTCAAAAAATTGGCTTTACATACACTTTAATTGTGAGTGTGTTTGAGTGAAAATATGTTTGGTCTGTGTAATTCTGTAATAAACCTTATGAAACACTGTCTCAGTTGGTTTTCTTAGAAATACAGGCACAGGGGGTCACAAATAAACTGTTGAATATAGTTAGCTAAATTCAAGACAGCCTGATTTGCAGTAGATGTGTGTCTAATTTGTATGATAACTGTCCAAAATGAAGCTATAACAATATTTTCAATGATCACAACATTGATCTTATGGCATTAACATCCCTAGAAAAAGCTAGAACAGCTGGTGATCTGTCACACAATCCTTATCTGGATAGGAATAATCTGTCATTGTGGCTGCCTGAAACTACATGTGTTAAATGACGTGTGTCCTGGCCTTGGTGTCTGCATTAAACAGCTATTAAAATGTGATTAATAAATGGAAAGTCACTTGCTCCCATCACATGAATCCAGCGAACACCTCTTTTTAACCCCTTCTCAGGTAAAGTATGTATTCTATTCTGATTTTAAAACATAAGCTTCTCCAGTACTTACCTTGATTCAGGAAGTTGATGGCTTTCATGCAGACATATTCTTCATTGCTAACCTTCAGCTGGCTGAATTTTCGATACAAGTAAATAAGCCTTTCCATCACTTCCATACCCTCCTCACTAAATCTGAAAGAAGAACAAGTTGTTATGTGATTCATCCTGTTAAAAAATTACACAAACCTAATATGACAATTATTTAAAAAAAAATTATTTTTTAATGCAACACTAAAAAAGCAAATTAACACAAT